CTGGCAGTTGTAGTGTCGTGCCATACACTAGCTCTGCGGTAGTACAACCAGAATCGGTTTTTAAGGCGTTTCGTATACCTAGGAGAACTAACGGAAGTGATTCAATGTGTGTTGTTTGCAGCTGATAAACCAGCATTCAACTGTCTGTGTAGAGGTTCTACCATACCATTAGCTTGAGGATGGTAGGCTGTTGTTCGTAAACGCATGCAACCAATCATTTTAGTCAGGGCGACGAATAAGCCACTTTCGAATTACCACCCGTGATCAGTTGTTATGGAAGATGAGCATCCAAAGTTTGTGATCCATCTTTCTACAAAGACACGTGTGACGGTTTTAGCAGATACATCCTTGAGGGGTATTGCTTCAGGCAATCGTGTGAAACGATCGATGCATGTTAACATATAGGTATATCCATGAGATTCTGGAAGGGGGCCAACTAAATCTATATGGATGTGTTCGAAACGGGCATCAAGGATAAGAAATGTACCACGAAGGCTTTTGGTGTGGCTCACTACCTTGCACTTTTGGCAAGCTAAGCACGTCTGTGCCCATTCCCTTACTTCCTTGTTAATACCAGGCCAACAAGACCGACTAGTTACGATCTTGACGGTAGTTCGGATACCTGGGTGGGATAAGCCATGCAACGTATTGAAGACGTTACGGCGATAACTTTTATGCACGATAGGGCGAGGAGTACTAGTGGAAATGTCGCAGAGAATAGTATCCTTTCCTATCCCTAAGGGTTTCTCGGCTAATTGTAGAGTTGTTTTCGACAATTGATGCTGAAGCTCGGTATCGTTTTTTTGAAGACGAGACAGTTTTACAAGGTCTATGCCGTCGACTTGGGTGAGGGAACAAACGCGGGACAAGGCATCTGCTGTGGTGTTGTTCAGTCCGGATACATGGCGAATATCCTATGTAAACTATGAAACGTAGTTCAGCTGTCGTAATTCCCTAGGTGAATACTCATCTGAAGTTGTGTTCAGAGAGTACGTCAGAGGTTTGTGGTCAGTGAAAATTATGAATTCACGACCCTCCACCAAATGTCGAAAATGACGTATGGCACAGTACATAGCTGGAAGTTCCGAATGTGCTGTACTTCGTTTCAGCTAATTGAAGACGCCTCGAGAAAAAAGCGAGTAGTTGCCACTCTTTTCAACTAGTTGTTGCAGAACTGCGCCGATTGCAGTGTCTGATGCATCAACCGAGATACTTAACAGTGCCGCTGGAAGTATGGTATCCGCAATAGCTTTTTAACCTGAGTAAAAGCATGTCGAGCAAACGCATCGAGTTCGATGGACTTGTTATTCCCTCGAAGAAGGTCTGTTAATGGTTGAATCAGAGAGGCGCAGTTGGGAACAAACCGTCGGTAATAACTTACCATGCCGTTAAAAGTGTGCAGGCTTTTCACTGTCTGTGGCTCTGGAAAGTTCATTCTCGCCTCGACTTTGGTAGCCAGTGGGCGAATACCCTTACAGTCAGGTGAGTCAACGCCCATCTGACACTTTTGAATATTGATGGTAATATCATGTTGGCGTAACCTTTCAAATGCCAAGTCCAAGAGTCTAAGGTGAGTTTCCTTGTCTGGACTGGCAATGAGGCAGTCGTCTAAGTATGCGTACACAAAGTCGAGACCGCGAAATACTTCGTCAATGAAGCGTTGGAATGTTTGTGCTGCATTGCGGAGGCCAAATAGCATACGTAGAAACTCAAAAAGTCCGAAAGGCGTGATGACAGCTGTTTTCGGAATATCTTGTGGTGCCGTTGGGATTTGGTTATACGCTTTAACCAAGTCGATTTTAGAGAACATAGATGCGCCAGATAATGTTGCCATCAAGTCGTGTATGTGGGGCAAAGAGTAGCAATCAGGGGTTGTTTTAGCGTTCACTCACCGGTAATCACCAGTGAGTTGCCAATCGTTGCTATCCTTTTTCGGTACCATATGCAGTGGGGATGCCCATGGGCTATTCAATGGTCGAATGATGACAAAGGTGAGCATATGGTCGAATTCATTTCTAGCAATTCTCAGTTTGTCAGGAGCAATTCGTCGTGCTTTGGATGTCACGGACTGTCCTGACATTATGATGTGGTGCATAACATTGCTGGTTATGCACGAGATATCTGTACATGGGCAATCAATTTCCGGATATTTGTCAACAATCGGTTGAAAAGTTGGATCGAGGATTGCTTTCATCTTAACGAGCGACAAGTTGGGGCCTATGTAGGTGATGCCTTTGATAGACAGACTAGTAGGATTGTCAATCAGTTGGCGGACGTCTCCGAGTAAATCATAATGATTAATTAAGTCCGTGCAAATGACGGGCATTGTGACGTCAGGGATAAGGAAAATCCACTGAATAGGTTTGCGTAAACCGACGTTCAAGTAGGCGTATGTCCTACCGTAGTTTGCAATTGTTTTTCCATTTGCAGCCTGTAAGTTGAAGGTAGGTTGCTTCTATCGATCTGCTGCTGTAATAGGAAGGACGCTGACTTCGGCACCTGTGTCGACAAAGTATCGTGTCTGGTTGACCACATCACGAGTGTAAAGTAGGCGGTTAGTGCCGCCGGCGACGGTTGCCGCTAACGCGTGCCGGCGGGATAGTTTCCCACAGACTTTGAGACATTGCTGAAATTATAAGGTTAGAGGTAACATTTCGCTTCCTGCCCACAGGTGTTGTGATACCGTCACCAGTCACGGTTTTTCAGTAAACGTGGCTTGGATTTAGATCGACCACGTGCGTTTTGCCGTTGAGGGGATTTAGGACGACGATAGGAGGAATTACTGGGCATCTTTGACCTAAGCATCTGCTGGATGGAGTTGCATAACTTTATCACTGCAGTATCCTTACTTGAAGTCTGTCTGGCAACTGACCATATTTCAATAACTGGCCGTTTAGTTTCTAAAATTTTATCTACAGAAACAACTAAGTATTCTATGATAGACCCTGAAGTGTCACCAGCACGGTCTGTACTGACTGTGGCAGTTTGGATAAGAAGAGTTCTCTGCCAAGTCCTTCATCGAACTGACTTTGGCCAATAACCTCTCTCATTCTTGTCAGCATGCTCATGGCTGACTAATCCCCTAACTCGATGTTACGAAATAATTCATCCAGACGTTGTCGATCCGTGAGAATATTTCTCCTGAGGAGGGATGCTTTGAGCAACTCGTACGAGTTACTTACCTCTGGACTCGACATCTGCAGAGTTACGCACTTGTTGAATTTTTGCGGTAAGGCGTGAATAACTTCTAGGAACTGTGAACGTTGATCAGTTATCCCATGCTCACCAAAATCAGACTCAGCTATCTGAAACCACGTTTCAGCATTATCTGGGCAATATGGTACGAGCTGAAATGCTTTGGCAGTTGAGCGAATATGAATGACCTTAGGACTAGGATCACTTATGGTGGAATATATGCCGATTACAATATAGTATAAGAACAAACAAAAAAAGGAACGATATCGCCGGGTCTGTCTGCGTATTTATCGAAGATGAAGTTCGCGGTCGGGCTCACCAGTTTAGAGGCTGATGGTATTGACGTTCGCGAATGGTATAGAGTATACCAACGCAAGACCTTATATCAACAACTTCTATAGTGTTCGTTTCTCGTGTACCAAAGACAAAGCAAAAGACCAGATTGAGTCGTCCAAAGTACGTCATATATTTCGGGATCAAAATCGTGAACTGAAGTGAATGCTTAGCTAGCTAGTGATTGTGCACGAACGTGACACGACGGAGTACCAAATGGTATGGATGCTTGACCGGAAGCCTTCAGCTAAACAAGTCGACTTAAACAGTGAGGATCAGCATCCGATGTCCAGTGATGATTGCGGTGGTCAATAATTTTGAGGAATTATTTACCGTTACAAACTCCTTTTTAAAGCCTGAACTCATGAACTCAATCCGGGCACCACCCGTTGCACATGTTTGTCCGAATGTTTTTCAGGTTATGTTCGAATTTATAAGGAGAAGGAATTATGAGAGAAATGAAATGCATTACGATTCACTTATAGCTTTTACTAATAACTGACTGTATATCTAAGTAAGACCCAGTACCACTCTGAAGCAACAAAGAGCGAGTGATAAAAAATTGTAAGTTTTAAAATGCTGGTGAAAAGATATTGGATATTGAACCTCAAAAGGGCACAATGTTTGGACTACGTCGACACGTTCTGACCTCGACATGCAAGGTATTGAGAATACACACTGAAGTATTCCCTAGAGTGTTAAGGTGACTAGAGTCGCATTTTCGGGGACTCGAAACTCAGTCTCTACCATCAAAGGATATTTGAAAAACATAGAGAAAAATGGTATGACATGATAATAGTGTTATTATCAGAAACGTAGAAATAACGCATAGTATTGAAAAGAAAGAATATGAAAGTGGGAGGCGACAATTAGCGCAAATAATGGGTTATGATCCGGCGCATTTTAGCCCAGAACAAGTTAATGACGCAATTGAATATCTCCTCCCATCGTCGTTGTTTACCAAACGTGCTCGTCCTACCTTTAAAGTATGTTTATGTGTGTCTATAGTAATATTGTCCAGGAGCCACATTTAGTGCTTCCACCTCAGAAGAGTTAGTTTTTCAGTTAACAAAACAGTTTTAGAACTACAATGTGATGTAAATGGGCGTCCATTTAACAGTTTCTTTTATACGACAAATCAAAACTTCTTCAAGATCATGCATGTAAGATTTATCGCAGTTGTTCTACTTTATTGTTAAGGAAACAGTTTATAAACTGGAGGAGTTGAAGCTGCAGATAGACCGCTCATACTTCGAGAAAACACCAGTCAAACTTCCTCCGGATGGGACGTGGTATGTTTAGAATTCCTTTTACATAAGGCGAATTGTTTATTTTATGATTATAAATCGTCATATTATTATTTTGTCACTATTGTTTATTAATATTCAATTGGGAAGGTGAGAAAATTACGGTAAACATGGTAATGGAATCAAATGAGGCTTCGAAACCGCATTCCAAACGTTTACAATAACTTCAGATTCAGATTCAGATTCAGTTGATAAGGATAGAAGGCTCTTGTGGCCTGTGTTAATCCTTGCAAAATATATCTCTGCAGAGATCTAACTTCTCTTTGAAAGCGTTCACCGATGGAGCTGTTACTACTGAATCAGGTAAGGAGTTCCAGTCGTTGACCACTCTATGAGAGAATCTAAATTCTGCACGTATTTTAATCGTCCTCGGTTTGAGCACCTTTTTGCGGTGACCCCGTAAATGTATCCTAGAAGGAGAGAAAAGTTTAGAAAGGTCAGTTCCTAAATCACCCTTAAGTATACGGTAAGCCAAAATTAGGTCGCCTCTCTTCCTTCGGTATGATAACGGAAAGAGATTTAGATGCTCCATCCTCTTATCATAAGGAAGGTGTGATATACCACTAACTAGTTTCGTTCCTACTCTCTGTACTCTTTCCAGGATATATGCCTCCTTTTTGAAGCATGGACCCGCCGCTTGTACGCAGTATTCTAGATGAGGCCTAACATATGTTGCGTAGAGTATTTGGAACATGCCCTCATCTAATCGTTTGAAAGCCCTACGGAGTGCCCATAGCATTCGAAAAGCCTTAGCTGCGGCTGCATTGCAGTTTGCAGTTGTTTTCAAATCATTGCTGACAATGATTCCTAGGTCCTTCTGTTCGTTAACATCAGGTAGTTCTGTGTCCCCTAGGGAGTACGACGTATAAGACTTCTGACCTAAGTGCATTACTGCGCTTTTCCTAGAATTCATTTTCAAACTCCACAGGTTCGACCACTCCGCTAATTTATCTAGATCAGTTTGTAGGGCCGACCTGTCCTCGCTATTGTTTACAGTTTTCCATATCTTAATGTCATCTGCAAATAACAATGAAGATGAAGTAAGAATCCCTGGTAGCTCATTAACGTATAATAGGAATAGCAAGGGGCCTAATACAGTTCCCTGGGGCACTCCACTGGATACTGCTTTCCACCCTGATAGTACACCGTTAACCCTAACCTTCTGCCTTCTATCCATTAGGTAATCCCTAAACCACTCACATAGGCATTGGTCTAGTCCGAAACCTTTAAGTTTACTAAGGAGACCTAAGTGGGATACTTTGTCGAATGCCTTGCTAAGATCAATAAAAACCACGTCCAACAGAAGGTTTTTATCTCTGGCCTCGACCCAATCTTCCCTAGCTAACAGTAAGTTTGTTAAGCAGGATCGTCCTGGTCGGAATCCATGCTGTTCAACTGCCAGTAAGCCATTTGTTTCAACGTAAGCTAATAGCTGATCCCTTATAATAGTTTCCATTACCTTTGCTATAATGCATGTTAGACTTACCGGCCTGTAGTTAGATACCAATTGCCTGTCCCCCTCTTTGAATATAGGGCTTATAATGGCATCCTTCCAGTCCCTGGGTAGCTTAGCCTGGGTCAGTGACATTTGGAAAATCTCCGCGAGTGGAATATATATTATATCCGCCAAGGAAATTAATAATTTAGGGTGAAGTCCATCAGGCCCCGGTGATTTACCTGGTTTCAGTTTAGACAGTAGTTTGAGGACTTTTGTGTGCTCTACCACAATTGAGGGCATCTGAGTGGCGATGGCAGTAACCTCGCCATATCCCTGGGTGGTACTATCAGACGAGAAGACGTCACAGAAGTATTCAGAGAGGTTTTCAGCCTTTCCTTCGTCTGACTCAGCCGTTTCTCCACTAATGCTTATGAGTGACGGTATACCATTGCTAGTTTTAGTCCTACGTTTAATATACGAGAAGAGCCTTTTTGGGTAGTGAACACTATCTAGCACAAGCCGTCTCTCATATTCTATACGACTCTTGTTAATCGCATACTTACAGAGATTTCGAATTTTGCGGTAGTCTTTCTGGAAATTTTCCCTTCCTGTCATAATAAATTGGTCCCATAAGTTCTTTCGCCGTCTTAATAGCCTCCTTATTTCACTAGTAATCCAAGGTGGCTTGTGCGATAGCTTTCGAGGAGTGTACCAAGGTATAAAAGGTGAAGTGACACAATCTAGTGTATTTCTAAATCCTACCCAAGCTTCCTCGACAGTCCGACTTGTATCTACTGACCAGTCAACTGAAGTTGCTGCGTTCCGGATTCCTTGTATATCCGCTTTCCAAATGTTTGGACGAGCAGATTTTGACCTGTGTATGAGAGAATGAATCTTAAACGTAAAAGCAATGACTATGTGGTCACTGCTGCCAAGCGGTGGAAGGCACCTAATGTCACCAACGTCCTCCTTCTGGTGTGTTAATATCAAATCTAGAGTAGATGGATCATGTTCCGGGTGATACCGTGTTGGTGCATGCATATGTTGCACGAGTGCACATTCAAGCACTGTCAATGTGAACTCCCTATTGAAACAGGTATACAGACTAGTGGAGTTTAATTCCCCCCAGTTAATGTGTGGAGCATTAAAGTCGCCAACAACCAGACACCTATTTCTACTACCCCACGCCCTCAAGTGATTTAGAACGAAGTCATCAGCTTGACTAGCAGGACTTCTGTAAATAACTCCGATCGTTAAAGTGCCTTTGCTCAGATTAATAACGCAGCTTGCAGCCTCACTGGTACCGCTGTCATGAGCTTCTGACAACGTTGACCTAATCCCTATGTCATCGCGGATGTATAGAGCAACCCCACCACCTTTCCGACTACTTACTCTATCTGCTCGAATACAGATGTACCCAGGTATGAGTGGAGTTAAGTCTACACCCACTAACAACCATGTCTCAGTGATAGCAATCACATCAGGTTGTAGTCTTTCAGATAACTCTCCTAATTCGGCGAGTTTATTCCTAAGACTACAAGCGTTCGTATAGCACACCGAGACACCTACGTGTTCATCCGGCTTATGAAGAGAGGTCTCGGCAGCATCGGTTTCCGAGACCTCACCACCCGAAAACCCAATATCTTGAGGTCTTTTTCACCTTTCTCTAGTCTGGCCTTTAGTTCAGCCACGGCTTCTCTTCTTTTGATTCTATCTTCTAAAGGCCAATCAGGCCTTATTTTTAAGCTTTTATCGTTAATTTTGAACGCGTTGTTGAGGATGGTGCTTTTCTCTGTTTCATTCCCTAAAACTATCTTAAGTAGTCGTCGAGAAGTTTCCGTAGCATCAGGGTTTCGTTTTCCGATCCTGATGGCTTTTCTTACGTGAACTCCAATTGTTTTTTCGGGAAGTATTTCCCGGATTATGGAGCTAACCGCCTTCAGATCATCTGCATGTCGGGCAGCTGGATCTGTGTTCTTAGATTCCTCCAAATTCCAGATGATAACACTGTAACTGGAGTCCGTAGGTTTCTGAGTTTGGCTGGTACTAACAGCCATCGAGACCTTGTTGGTGAACTCGGTTGCTGTTTCTTTCCTTCGTTTATTTTGCTTCTTACCTGACGGCACCAACCAAGTGGAGTCAGTTTCTTCCACTTTGTTTTCGCCGCAACTAGAGGCCATTCGTGCACTAGACACGCTGCGCTTTGGGGTGGCCATTTCACAGGCTGGTGTTGCCATGCTGGCACTACTCGCCCTTTTAGATTTCCTTTGCCGTTTGCGCTTAGTCGCTACAGACATTTGAGCACTCTGTGCCTCTTTTGCCCCCTGAGCTACAGGTGGCGATACACCTTCGGTTTTAAAATTATGCCCTGAACCGCCATTTTTGGCTATGATTTCTGGTACAGGCTTCTCGACTACGTCTTTAGTCAATTTCTTGGACATCAGGAGTCCCACTGCCTCTTGGATGAGGACATCCAACGGGTTGCTGCAAAATTTGCACAGCCACGGAGATGACGGCATGCAACATCTCTTATAGGCTACTGGTGACAAACCAGTGCAAACCTTGTGAAACCATAGGCTGCAGTTGTCACACTGCATACCATCATCCACCGGAAAGTGGCAGTCCGGTCGTCCGCAATTGTTATTCGGACCCATAGCGCTAATTTGTTTCAACAACACAAATATATGTACGTGAAAACTGTGAGGTTTATACCAACCAAATACACAAATGTATATACGTGAAAAAAAAGCGTAAATACCGAACAAAACACAGACTGTGAATAATATGAACAACACTTCAACTAAATAAATCAGTTAAAGTGAACTAAAAAGCTTCTGATGTGGTTTAAACAACAAAAGCAGAATTTACTTCACAACGTAAAAAATGCCACTGTCCTTTTTCAAAGCGCGCGCGCACATTATTTTATAATAACATCAATTTAATCTATGTCTTAAGTGTGATTGAGTCAACTGATTCAAGGTCTGTGAACTTGTGTTTGACAAACACAGTATACGTTCACTATCAGGTTCGGCTAGTGAGACCTGTGCACCCCTGGTGGAATAGAGTTCAGACGTTAATTAGATAAAATGTCCAGGGGTCAAGGCTACTGTTCCTCTTTAGAAAAGCAAAACCGTGCTTACAGACACTAAACGACAACTGGATGATTAGATTCTCAGTAGAATGTATTAAAGCGATATTTTCCGTGTTAGATCAGACTGTCTACCTCTAGGTTGCGTGTTTAAACCAAAACTGTCTCCATAATGACAAAATTTAAGATATCGGAATTCAACAACTCTATTTCTGCTGTAAAATATTGATGATAGGTTTTACGGCCTACTTTACTGGTGACAGCTTTCTAGCAACTGCTGGAGAATGAACATGTGATTGAGATATTCTTCACCCAGATGAAACCCAAGCTCGGTCTGAAGGCACCTTTCGAAGTCTGCAGAGCTTGATAGTAGCCATTACTTTTTATGCAAGTGGTATTGGATGCACTGATGATTATCACATGCATTAAGACCTTTCATTCTCTAATACACTGAATGTATTGTGTTTTCCAAACATTCAACCCATTTCTCTGACTAATTTAGTAACCATCTGAAGTACCATTGGCTGTACTGGGTCCCTTATTTCGCTTGAACTTCTTTTCTAACCTCAGATTCATACCAAAAAGCTTTGTACACCAAACTTTCAGGTCAGAAAACTGTTTTGAAGCATTCCAGTATTTTTGCAGGCTGTTGACTACCATATCAACTACCTCAGCGACTGTTCCACTGACACCAATGCCTTTCAGTGCCGTTGGTTCGAAGTACCTTTAAAAAGCTTCAGACTGTAGTCCCAGATACGTACTCCAATAAGGTCAAGCAGTGTACATAGTAGCTGTCAGCACTGGGGAACACTTAAAGATTAGCTACGTACTTATGCTACATTTGACATGTGAATCACCTAAAACGTCTTTTTATTGATTGTTTCAGTTTTACGTCTGATGATTGGGTAACAAAGTCGGAACTGATGGAGATGATAAATGAAACTTTGACTGACTCGCAGGTATGTGTATTATCCGACTGATTTACTTTGTGGATTTCATAGTATGAGCAGTGGTTAGTTTTAGTGAAGCGACTGTCCGAACATCCGCTGTCATATATGGCGGAAGAATTCCTTCAGAGATTCAGAGTCCGTCACAACGATGCCATTTCAGACACTGAGTTTCCTGAGGTTAGTATATTTAAATCAGTTAAAATGTCTTTTAGCCCTGTGTGGATTTAGTAACAAACCAAAAATATATCCGGGCTTTTGGTCAGAAGAAAAATGCATTTGCAGAAGCGACATTGTACATGCCTGGAACTGGTGGTTTTACGGTAAACGGGAAACGCCTTCTAGAAGTATTCTCGGAACTTGGGAATCGAGAACAGATAATGTTTCCTTTACAGCAAACAAGTAAAGTTTAATATACCACGATTTGCTTGACTTTGTGTTACACAGCGTAAATTCGTTGATGCATGACGGTATACAGGTTTAATTCTATGGTTATTTTTATGATCGCGTGAGCCCTTTTTTGTTCCCACTGTTTAAAGATACTGAGCGGAAATTTAGTTAAAATAGATAATGAAGTCAGTAGTTAGATCTTTAAACTGCTACTTGCAAATATCAGTATCCCAATGAAGAAATGCAACGAGTATGATGATGAATTTCAAATTAGTGTCATAACATACTATTTACTTAAACTCACAGCGTGAAACCTATTTTTGACCGCTATTAAGATATATGAAATCGAATTACTACTTCCTTAGGAAATGTAGTACTGATAAGCTCTTATCACATTACAAGTAGGTTATCTTCCGGCATAGTAAACACTGCAATTGTTACTCAACGATGACACATTATAATTGCAATGAGTTTCACGATTTTTGCGATACTTTGTGGATATTCAAACCCCTCGATACGTAGAGTATGTTTCGAACTCGTAACCTACAGCTAATAAAAAAAATAAACTGAATGATGCACATAATACCAGAAATGTTTTACATTTTAGATACACTTGGAAAGGTAGATGTAATTGCTACTGTTGATGGAGTGGGCTCAAGCTCTCTAGCCAACGCCCTTCGATTAGCATTAGCGAGATGTCTGGCCTCGATGCTTCCCGTAGACCAAGGGAAAAACAGATTAACGGTCACTGGACTCTTAACTCAAGACGATAGGTTCGCAGAACGTAAACAACCTGGTCAAAAGAAAGCACGCAAAAAGCCTATTTGGTAAGTAGGATTCACAATTAAAATCCTGAAATTGTTGTGTCATAAAGCATTATTCAACTAAGATGAATGAAGCTGGACAACTTGTCGTTAACGAAACTTTAAGAAGATTAGTCCCATATTAGATAAATTCCTTTGAAATAATAAACAGTAATAAAGTACTAATTATCCGCACAATTCCCCGACACTTCATTCATATGATTGCAAGCAATAAATTTTGCTCAAGACATCACCAAGAATTACATCGAATGAATTTATCTAGTAAGGAATTATATCCTACTACTGTGGGCAAATTCTTCAGCCACATTAATTTAAATGGCAACTTCTTGTCATTGAGACTTTCGTGAGTACGGTTTATGGTGTGATGTGCAAAGCTACGTGCAATGTTTAGATTCACTCGAAAACAACAGACAACATGGACGTGAGTAGAACCAAGCGAGGGGTGTCTTCTTTCACTTGTTGGATGTCTGAAAACACGCATTTCCTGCCGTTTTCAGAGTTACCTTAGGATTACATTGAAGCCTAGAATTCCAGTGGCACGAATAATTTTGAACAAAACACATCCTTTTGAATATGGTTTACACACTGTTTGTATACTGAGATGATCAGTAGTGCATATTACACAAAGCATGGATAATTCAGCTCATGAGTCAGAATTCTTCTTCTAAGTGAAGCAGGTGAAGACTACTAGAAACTTAACAATGCTGTAATGTCGAGATTGTACACGTCACCCTACAACTGAGAATTATTAGCGACAAGGTTATGCCAAAAAGTATTGTACTTTGGTTTATTTACAAAACAACATTTATTTCGTGTTTCTGGTATAAGTGCAGTCAGTAAAAAAGGATGAAGGAAAATAAAAATATATCGAAAAATTAAGTATTGGTTAAAATTACAAACACCACGGAATAAAAGCTAAGTATTGAAGTAATATTATTTTACTCACTGAAAGCATAAAATTTATAAAAAAAGTTATGTGAAGTGGATTTTTCACTGATTCAATTTTTTGATTTTTATTTCAGGAAAGCACGTTAACTTCGAAGAAAACACGATTTTGTACAAATACAGGTGGCAAATAAAACTAACTGATACTCTTCTTTGACAGGAGTTGTTGTTTAATACTGAACCGATGACTTCGTCGTTTTCGTTTCGAGTTCAAGCATCTACAGGAAAGAGACAAGAGTACAAACGCATCAAGCTTATCTTGATAAATATATTTACGTGACTAAGTATTCTATATCCAAGCAGAAGTGTATTAACTTTAATAAAAATTTTGGGTCCGTATGTAGTCGCTATATTGCGAAACAAGTAAGATTTTCTTGTCAACCCGGTCGCTAAGCTAGTGAAAAGTAAGACGAAAGATATGTCTACACAGTAGAAATTATCTGGTGTCGAGGCTCCAGTCTACATAATAATACGTGACTTGTGCTTTGTTTCACACCTCTGTTTACTGTCTATATTATGCATTTCCCCTACTTTCTTCTCTTGCTTTGTGTGCTACATGGAGTGTGGCGACTTGAACTGCCGCACATATGTGCAAAGTTCTATGTCAAAAACCGACCGACCGACGTGCCTTGTGCTCGTATAGAATTGAGAAAATTAGTAAACAGATTATGAAGAAGGACCGGATCATTTGCTCTCTTTGTGATGAGCTAGGTCAATTTCACCTATTTCTGTAATCAGAACTGATACTTTGACAGCACATTTCAAAATATATTCAAGGTAAACTGATATAAGTCATCATTTTTTGAAATTAATCAGATCGAGCAGTGTGAAAGTATTTGAAGCTCCCTTCTGGGAGTGTAAATTGATCCTGCGAAGCTGCAGTTATCAACGAGATGGCTACGTGCTGGAGTACTGGAGACAAGAATAAGCCCAACTAAGTCTTATCATGAGTGAAATTTCAAGTCCCTCCTTACCCGCAAAAAAATTATTATTCAGCAAAATGCTGAACGTGGATGTTTACACGTTGCTTTTTAATCTAACCAAGTCCTTAAGACGGGTATGCTTTCTATGACAGTAGTAGTCGCATCAAAAAAGATGTCAACAGTGCATATAAAAATAGTAACATGCAAGTAGTTCTTTTACTATATACACCTAACACTAGTCTAAAGTCACAGGAATGTATGCGAAACCTTGACACGAATCAATCAACACAATTAGAATTTATTTTCCGGACTCAACATCTAGTAAAGGGTTATTTTACTAATGATTTTCGCCATTGGCCCACTGATATAGCCGGACATTTGTAGTGATGAAGAACTCTAGTTTTACCATATTCCTGTGTTTTTAAAAGTGTCAAAAATCCTTAATTCCTGGAATATAAGAAAGCTGCACTTGACTCACTCGTTAAGCGTAGTTAGGATTTGTTACCAATTCATTAGTTAGCTGCACAGAGTAGCTTTCGAGCTTCATGCATTCATTCACCTGTAAAGTATAACCGTATAATACAGAGGGAGAAAAAATATATCGTAACACTTATGCTTGAAGATTTTCGTAATAACAACTTAGGATTCCCATGGTGGGAGAGAATTAAAAAATGTTTCAGATAAAAGAAAGCATTTGTCAGGGTTAACTTATAACTGACTGTTATGTTATATATGGCAATGTTGAAACATTTGCAGTATACGCGATATTATATTTCCACTAAAAGAAATTAATATAAG